TGATAAGGCTGGTTATCATGGTAGTGTACTGCATGCTCCCAATATATATGAAGGAAACAATGTTTGTGAGCACTGCCGTGCTACTTTGAATAGGCATCAACCTCATTTGGAGCATCCCAGCATGGGAAATGGAGTTCCACAGATTGTTAATGTAACACACCTCCCTAGCACCCTTAGTCATACAAGAGTTCGAAAACAAAATTTATAGCGGAAGTAAAAACACTTTTGAAAAAGAAAGATCATAAATACCTGTAAAGGAAAACCACTTTAAATATATATATATTGAAAAAGTGCCAAAATATTCAAAGTTATAAAATAAGCCAAGTTAAGTTCATTTATAATTAATTTAAAAGTTTTATACATAAAGTTAATTTACACAAAAATTATATGAGGTAAATTTCTTCTTCAAAGCTTTCGAAAAAAACAAAAGCTGAGTCATTGTTTTGGTAAGATATCAATCTACCTCCTTATCGAAAACACGAGATCCTAGCTTGTACATACAACGAGCATGCAAGTCCCGTGCCAAAAGCTCCTAAACCGAGATGTTGCTACATCGATCTACTGATCTGAAATGGGGGGATTTTATGAACTCACAGCCCAGTAAGTAATAAGCTTAAGCTGTAAACTTGGGTTCTAAGACCCTTACATCTATCCACACAAAGAACATAATACACAAGACACAACGGAATCAAATCACATAATATTGTAATTCTCAAATCATAAGCACAAATGTCTAAATTGAATTCATATATTAAAATCCTACGCTCACAAATATGATGTCACAAGCGCAATGCATAAAATCGAAAATCACATAATGCTATGGAGTTGTGCTAGCAACACTGTACCGGAGCTAATCACGGTACTAACCCTACTGCGCAGAGATCCACTAAATACCCCGAAAAGTCCACTAAATACCCCAAACTTTAAGCTTAGGTCCACTTACTCCATAGTCACAAACACATATGCATGTCAAACAAATTCATAATATGTCCAAAATAATATTAGGACTTTCTATTGGAAGATATCAAAGCATAATTCGTGAACAGTAATCGTGAACAGTAATCATGAACAGTATCATAAACAGTAATTCGCAAATAATACAATTTCCTTCTAATTTCTGCAGCAAAAATTGCACCCAAATCAAACAATAGAAAGGACTAACTCACTATCTTTTTCATATCAGCCCCAAAATTAAGGATATTTCTAATAAAAGTTTAATACCTAAAAATCTTATAAATCAAAAAATTAAAGTCAAATCTCACCAGTTTAAACTACCCAAAACTCTAAACCAAGATTCATAACTAAAACTTATACTTATCTAACAAAAGCACCTTAATCTTGGTTGGAGAAAAGAGGAAGAAAGGATGTAGATGGAAGAGGAAGGCATAGGAAAACAAAATGGGGCTTTTGAGAGGCTTCTGGAGGCTTATCCAAGCTTCCACCGACAAAGACCAAAAAAACTTGGTTGGGAAAATGCAATGTGGTAAATAAAATTGGGATAATTGAGTTATGGTCATTCAACTTTTACTAAATTTTATTTAAAACCCCTAAACTTTAAATTTAATCAATTTAATCCTTAAAACTATAAATTAAAATGTACTAATTTTTAAATTATTCACTAAGGTACGTGGGGTGGTACAGTTAATCCCTGTGCTGAGTGCCCCCAGGTCGGGAAAATTTTATGATGAGTGCAGATGCCAAATTGCACATTGGAATGTACCCCAAAGATCACACTGATGCCCGATCTCCTTACTATGAAACACAGAGTCATGAAAGAGGCTGGGTTCTGCCACACCAATTAAACCCTCGTGTTGAGGATACCAGAAATC